TAGTGCTGCAGGGGATTGCTGTGATCAAAGGGCAGGACTTCAGTGCACAGTGCACCTGTCCAAGCCAGGAGCAGCCAGTTTCTCTGTAAGAATGCTGTGAGAAGTGAGGCTTTACTAAAATCTAGGTAGACTACATCCACGGCCTTTCCCTCACCCACTAAGTGGGTCACCTTGTCATAGAAGGAAATCAGGTTGGTCAAGCAGGACCTGCCTTTCACACACCCATGCTGGCTTGGCCTGATCCCTTGGTTGTCCTGTACATGCGGCATGAAGGCACTGGAGGTGATCTCCTCCATGACCTTTCCTGGCACCAAGGTCAGGCTCAAGGGCCTGTAGTCACCCAGATCCTCCTTCCAGCCTTTCTTATTGATGGTTATCCCAATTGCCAACCTCCAGTTCACTGTGACCTCCATGGTTACCCAGGACTGCGGATAAATGATGGAAAATGGCTCCGTGAGTCTTTCTGCCAGCTCCCTCAGTACACTTGGGTTGATCCCACCCAGGTGAATAGACTTTTGTGTGCCTGAGTGGTGTAGCAGTTGCTAACAATTTCCCCTTGGATTGGGGCTTCATTCTGTTCCTCATCCCTGTCTTCCAGCTCCGGGGGCTGGGTATGACAACGTCTTATTATTAAACGCCAAGGTAAAGAAGATATTAAGTACCTAAACCTTTTCCTTATTCTTTGTCACTACTTCCCCACACATTTAAAAGAGGAAAGAGATTCTCCTTAGCCCTCCTTTAGCTGATGATGTATTTATAAAAACATTTTTATTGTATTTTATTGGCAGTAGCCAGATTATGTTCCAGCTGAGTTTTCCCCCCTTCTCATTTTCTCCCCACATAACCTCACAGCATCATTGTAGCCCTCTTGAGTTGCCTGACTCTTTTTCCAGATGTCATAAACTCTTTACTTTACCCTGAGCTCCAGCTGAAGCTCTCCGTTCAGCCAGACTGGTGTTCTACCCTCATGGCTCATCTTTCAGTGTATGGGCACAGCCTGCTTCTGTGCCTTTCGGATTTCCTTCCTGAAGCAAGTCCACCCTTCAGGACTGTTTCCCAAGGCACTCTGTCAAACAGGTTCCTAAATAGGACAAAGTCTGCTCTCTGGAAGTCCAAGGTAACAGTTCTGTTGACCCCAAAACTTACTTCTCCAAGAATGGACAACTCTATCATTTCATGATGGCTGTGCCCAAGACAGCCTCTGACCATCACCCACCAGTCCTTCTCTGTTCACAAGAAACAGGTGCAGTGAGGCCCCGATTGTGTCACTCACCAGCTGTGTCAGGAGCTCTCACATATAATGGTGCTTTTTAAACAGTAGCTGCTTGAATCTAAGCTGCTGTGAAGAACAATTAAGAAAACCAAGTTAACCAGAACTTCTGAGAGCTTCCTTTCTTCTGCTACCCTCATCAAATGTGGTCTTTGTTGTGTCCAAGAGTAATTTCTCATGCAGACTATGTATTTTCTTTTACCATTAATATAGCTTTCCAGAGCACTTAGCGTAGGTCAGTTGGCTTGGATCAAGAAGGAGTTGGTCACAGTCATTACATCCTAATTTGCCACAGCATGGCCTTCTCTTTTAACTAGACTCACCTCCGGGAAGGTGGCATGTCTGCAAGGCTTGTTGTTGGGAAAACTGAGAAACGTGTAAAAGTTTTGGTTTGACAAAACAGTCACAGAACAGGGGTCCAGACTACTGTCGGAAGCATCAGACCTAACAGAGAGCCTCAATTACTCCGTAAAAGAGAGGTCAGTGTTTCTTCCTTACTCAGATCTGTCCATGCTCCACCATGTTCTGATTCCTGTCCTGGTTGACTGTATTAAAGCACTTATATGAAATAATTATGACTGTAAAGCAGTCAGTTCCTGCCAAGGTCCATATATCCTCAAAGGATATAAGGACACACAAACGAAGCTAACAATGCAGCAACAGACTGCAACTTCTCATCCTTCCCACAGGAGCTCATGAGATTATCCTGACAGTTTGGACTGGTCCTCAGCGCTACTGGAGCAGAAACGAAGTCCAGTGATTTCACTACCACTATTTGCATGCTCCATTCTTAATTCAATTCAAGTACAGAAATTCAGACACTTGGGGTCACTTGAATTAGTGCTGGTGACTATTCATGTCTCAACTCTCTTGTTTTAATTCAATCTGAGATAAAGCCCAGGAAAGCCAATTGGAAACAAAAGATTTGGTATTGCGCCCCAAGATAATGAAATACTAAGTTATGTCAACATGATTCTCTTCCATGTACATTTTGTTAAAAGAACACAGTGGATTTTTGCTAATGCAGAAGCCTTTTTAGTAATTTTTATGGCTAAGTAGATAAGATGGAATCTTAAAGTCTTTCAAAAACACAAACAATGTTTATTTGTTGCTCGTAAGTAATTCATGGACCCAACAATATCCAACAAAACTTCTTCATTTTTAACAGATCTCTTAGTGAGCATCATTTTACAGAAAACCACCAACAAATAAATAAATTAAACAATTGCTTTTGGCATCACAATGGTTAAACACATTAAATAATTCCTTAAATTGTGCTTTACATCAATGAAAATCCCTAGGTCTACAAACTATCTTGTAAATAGGAATGAAAATAGATATGGTTACTCACAATACAATCTCTTAGTAGCAGAGTTCACAAACATTATTGCACATAAACAGAAGGAAAATTCCTAGAGAATAAAGTAATTTACAGCCTATTAATTGACCCTTTCATCTTAAATATGGCAACTAATGGGAACTCTTTATTTTTCCCTTCACTTCCAACATTTATTTGAAATCGCAGAGAGAGTGATATGGCCAAGGCAGCGGCCGCCAAGGACATTGTAAGCTATAGAACCCATTTTCCTCCACAAAATATAGACAAAGAAACTATTACAAGAACCAAACTGAAAGAAGTGTTACAGTGCAAATTTGGTACGTTTTCTGAGTGTGCTTTTGCTACATGTAAGAAGGATACAGCAATCTGCTCTAGCAGAATGATTTTATTGTGATTGTTTATCTTGTACAAAGTAGTCTCCACCAACTTGGAAAGATAGTCCTTATCCAAGACCAAAACCCAAAAATTCCATATGTAGCAGGGGAACAGCAACAGAGGGGGAAAAAAAGTGAGATAAGTTTTAAAGCATCAGTGCTCATAACTGATACAAGAGCGCAAGTGGCAAACAAGAACCCTTTAGGGCAGAAGGAAGCACATGCTGATGAGAAGACCAACTTAAGAAATGTCCTGTTCTAGTAGCAGATGTCAAATCTGAAAGATCTGCACATGCAAAGGTGATGTGACCTGCCATTTGGTTGAATAGATATGCTACGGTTACAAAGTGTGGCTTTGGATTTGACTTCCATCCCTTCACTTTAGTGAAGGGCAAATAACTGCTGTGTATTGAGTAGAACACCTAGCAAGGCTATCACAGCCTCACTATTAACAGAACTGCAGTGAAGAATATTTAGGATCAGAAATAGTGTTTTTTCTTTCTCCGTGGTTGCAATGGGTCTGGCTGAGATGGAGTTCATTTTCCCACAGCAGCCCTCACAGTGTTGTGCTTTCTATTGGTAGCTGGAAGGGTGTTGATAATATACCTTATTTTGGCTACTGCTGAGCAGTGCTGGCACAGCACCAGGGCTGTCTCTCAACATTCTCTCCCCTCTCAGTAGAGGGGGAGGGGGGGGTGGGCAGTATCCTGGGAGGGGACATAACCAGGTCATTTGACTCAAATTAACCAAAGGGATATTCCATACCATAGGATGTGAACTCAAATATAAAAGGTAAGAACACAAAGAGGAAGGGAGGGTGGGGATGGATTTATCATTATTCCTCAATAAAGTATGGCCCATAAGGCCATAAGCTGAGTTTTTGGACTAGACATTGAATTATCAGAAACAAGTTCAAATGACACATCATGTTTTTCTGTCCGCTCCAAGCTTACAGTGAATTATAACTGGAAAAGGCAGGCAGTGCTGGGAATGTGATGGGAAGGATTAGTAAGTACATCTCCATTACAAAATAATGAGATTTGTTTCAGCAACACAGTAGCACAAGCTAACTAACAAAATAATGCCAGAAAGATGGACAGAAATCCTATAGCATTGTTGCTCGTAAAGGTTTAGAAAGAAACATGCTGCACTCCAATCTTATATGAGTCAGTGTAATTACAGTGAAGTCCGTGCTGTCAGAGCAATGAAAACCTGGAATAACAGAGATATGAAGCAAGGCCTTTATTTTGCTTTGGCATTACATTATTTCAAGCACAGCATCCAAGAGGAAAAAGCTGCAAGCCTGTGTATTAGAAGTCAGCCTGAAAGTATTTCCAAACTGCTTTATTTGTCATGTGCCAGGAAATTCAGCTAAGAAAAACAGGATTGTTGGTGCAGTGAGTTTGCTTGATCTACTGCTGGAGCTGAGGAAGGAGGTGCCAGGTCCTTCAGTCCCAGGGGCTCTGGCCAAGATCTTTGCTTCTGGTTGCCTGCCCCTCTCAAAAAAACCCCAAACCAACAAACCACCATACCTATTCCTGCACAGGCAGGGCTATCTGCTACACAGGCTCCAGAGGAAAAAAAAAAAAAATCCAAAAAAACAACTTCAATTTTAACTAAATCCCAAGTGTTAAGGTAGATGTCACAGCACATTAACAGCTCTTCGGGACCTAATCTTGTCTCCTGGGAAATGACTGATGAAGAGGGTAGGCATTGCATGATGATATTGCCAAACTATTAAAGCTAATGTAAAGGCCCTAAAGATTGCTTAGATTTTCCTCATTAGACTTTGTCTTGTATCAGACAGAAGGAATAGTCTGGAATCCTTAGACAGCCAAAACTGATGATCACAGTCACTGGTGAGGCTCCAGAGAAGCATTTCTGAGCACTGTTTCCTCTCCCCTAAAAAGATAGCACTGCAATTTCTAAATGAAAAGTGAGGACCCCATTGCTCCGAGCAGCATAAATAGATGGTCTGCTGGGGAAAGAGTCAGGCACATGGGGAAGGGGACAGCAACAAATGTGGGAATGGGGAGATGCAACAGTTCCATTCATCCCTGTGTCACCACCCAGAAAGCTCCTTTCCTCTGCAGAGCCAGGGCCAGCCCAGCCTAAAGCCATGGTGCCAGTTGTTAGTACATCATATCACTGTGAATCACCTGCACTGAGTTAAAGGTGTAAGAATGCTGGTCAGGCTTAGCTCTTCATGGCCTCACTGTCCTGAAGGCAGGACACCCAGAGTGAGCTTCGGTCCTTGACTGTGAAGATTTCAATTTAAATCTCTGAAGGCAGGTGTCCATATGTGAGAGCAAGGTGTCTGAGTGCCTCTTTCAAGCGATGGGGATCCAGGCAGCACCACTCAGGAGTCTAGAGAGCTCCTCGTTCTTCTCTAAGGCAGACATCCCATGCTCAGACAGGAGAATAACAATCTACAGTCCTGTATTTTCCCTTCTGAATGCAGAGGCTGGAAAAGATGTACGTGATCCACCAGTGGAACAGGTATTAAAGACCAAAACCCACTGCTGCTTACCCCAAAAGTAGCACAATCAGTCAGTCAGACGTAAAGCAGTGTATTGCTAATGAACTACATTGATAATGAGGTATCATCCCAGTATCCCTCTTCACTTCTTCATGCTATTATGATACTTCATGTTTAATGTATTATTGTATCCATTAACTCTCAATGGGATTGTTAGATTTTATTTTTGATATCCTGCATAGATAAGTAGCAAGAGCATTGTCAGAAGAAAAGAAGCTACAGCATGCACAAAAAAACCCCAACTTGGAAACGAAGGAACAAATTTTCAAATTCAGCCTCTTTTTTTCTGTAACACTTTTTTTTTTTTTTTTAACCAACTGGGTAGAAACCTTGAATTCTGAAAACAAATGGGAAATGTGCATCCACATCAGGTACTCCAGTATTTCTAATTAGCAAATCTGTAAGGTAAAAGCCATTCATGCATGCAATAATATACTTTCAGTATCTCGATTTAGCAGCCACGTTGAGGCACTTAGAGAAATTTCCTCCTAATGCTTTACAGTTATACTAGAAGAAGAAGCAAAAAGACTCTCTCAGAAGATCTATGGTACACAGGACCCTCTTTTTGAAATGTCACTATAATGAATGAAAAAAACATACAATCTTGGAATAAACAGATGCAGTTTAGCCACAAGAATGTAACACGTGGAGGAAGAACCCACTGAATATTTTTCTAGACAAGGAAGAAAACCAGATACAGATCTCTCATCATGAAAACAATAAATTTACAAAGAATCTTCATACAGAGTAATAAATATCAAGACTTTCCACATATCCATTATGTATTCTATAAAAATGAAAGTTGATTTTTTTTTTTAGCCACTACTGTAGTTAGAGAGAAAACCAATTTAAATTGTATTCACTCGATATCAATGTATTTTAATAGACAATATCATAAACCTGCCTAACTTCACAGACAATATATCTCCAGGCTTTTACAGCAAATCTGGAAAATGTCACACTGATATTTAAGCTTTTCCTGCTCTCTCTTCCCTCTTCTCTGTAGTTTGCCTGACCCCTTTGGTGAATGTGAAGGCAGATTTCATTGCCTCCAGCCAGATAATCTCCATGATGTGTGCTCAGCTGCCACGTGGATCTCATTTCTCAAGGCTTTGCCTTTGCCACACACACTCAGAAAGATGGTTGCTCTCTGGCTGGGTTTGGTACTCTCAGGATATGCAGAGAAATAAGCTAACCCCTTCACCACTTCACCTATAAACCATCTCTGATTGCTGGCTAACGAAACAGAACAAGCAATGCCCCAATCCCACACTTTCTACATCTTTTTTAATCACCTCATCAAATTCCTCCCTTAATCGAAACACAGCAAGTGAAAGTTTGGTGGACAATGCGTGCACCTTCCTACATTTCATTCACTAGAAAGTTATGCACTACAGTTACAATGAACAGTACAAAATAAACCAGCTCTCATGTCACAAAGGAGCCAAGCCAGCTATTTTTTCCCAATTTTTCATTCATGTCTGCACAAGTTTTAGTAGCTCAGATTGTATAGGGTACATCTGTTAATGCAAAGGATACAGCTCTCTCTTCAACCCATCCTCATAGCTTAGGGCTTTGAAGGAAGTCTTTTTGGACAGAGAATCTTATTCTACTGCCATTTAGGAACACTAATCAATACCTATTGAGAAAACAATACATTCTCACTGGCAGAAAACAAGAAAAACTGAGACAAGGAGGGGCAGTTGTCAGACGAGGTCTCATTTACCAAAGCATCAGGTGTTTCTTGGCTAACTCCCAGGTAGCCAAGTTGCACAAACTCTCTGATCCTCTCATTGGTCAGTCAAGGCGGAGGAGCATCACCACCTTGCGACCTGACTGTTATAATCTTCAGTAATGGCTACTTGTGCTGCCTCTTCCCTTGGCCACTGGTGAACTCTCTGCTCCCGCAGCAGCCGCCGCTCCTCTCGCCTCTTTAGCCGGTTTTTCTGATGCTCCTCTTGCTTGGAGTACTGGAAGCGCTGCAGGAACAGGTCCTTTGCGTATTCGTACAGCTGCATGTCCAAGAAATTCAGCTCCTCTATCCGCTGCCGCACATCCTCCCCAATGTCCACGTTGGAGGCCCGCGTAACATTGAACTGGGTGAATGGGGAAATGAATTTCAGGTTGAATGTTCTCTCAAAGAGATACTGTGTTTTCCTCTGAAATTCTGTCAGCCCAAAGAAGGCCATATTTTTCAGATTGTTCTTGGCGCTTTGGAGAAGAATCATATTTCTTTCACTCTCATTCATAAAAGTCAGGTTGTAGCATCCCACCAGGCTGAGGTCTGCCAGCATGCGCACCTGGCGATTGTTGGCCAAGTTGTAGCTACAATCCATGAATTCCTGTAAACTGACTCCAGACCAGTCATCTCCTTCATAGCAGGTAGGCAGCTCGTCTGGTGTTGGGCTTCTTCCATCGCACATATGAAGGGAGGTTTTCCACGTCGCACCCCTCTGGACATGCTTCCATTCACTCAAGTACCTTGACACTGGATCCCTCAGCATTGTGATGTAATAGAAATTCCTGAAATATATAATTAAACAGAGTTTTAAGGTTTCAGTAGATTTCACTATTTATTCTCCAATAAAAACATTACCTGACACTGGCATCACACCCTTCACTTTTTCCAGTGTAATGTAGGCACTTTAAAGTGGCTACTTCTGAGACAGAAAAAGCTTCATAAATACCAGGAATAAAGTACAAGATAAACTGGGAGAAAAAGAAAAATACGAAAGGAAATAAGCTGTTATCAGGGAAACAGAATGACCTTGACCTATCAACTTTTCAGTCACAGTTACTTTGTGCAACCAATTAACTGAAGTCCCCTCTACTTCGAAGTGTTAACCCTCATTAACAGTGGGAAAAGAGATTGACACAATCTCTTCTGGACTGAGTCACATGTGTCACAAGATGTGCAAGATGATAATCTGTACAGCACTTGGTCACTATATAAGAAAACATGAGTAATTTCATGTGGATGGTGCAAATGCTAAAAATAACACCATGTGGAAGACTGGCATGAGCCACCTACTTAAGAAAAACCCTATTATTAAGTGGGTTGGAGTGAAGATAATAACAGACCCAAAATCCATTCATATGACTCAATTTTAGACAAGTGCTTGATTGAAATTAGTTATAATTGTGTAATACAAAAGCATTTGTTGGTGTAAAGGCTATCATTATTCAACCTCACCTGTCAAGACTACAAAAGAGACACCATGATATATTCATTTGAAATAGAGCAAATAACTACAGAACTCACATTGTCAGTTCTTCTTTTAGCTATGAAATTCAGTTTGCACGTCTATTTATGGCAAGCTGAAAGGGACTGCAATCGAATATGCATCAAGAAGGCTTTCACAGATTGAGGTTTTTTTACTGAGAAATGCTTTACTCAATAATAACTCACTTGAATTATAAGGTGACATCATAAACACAAACTAAAAACAAAATACTCAGGATTTGTGTCAGCTAAAATAACCAGAAAAAGATTCATGACTAAAATTAACACATGGTCTGGTTCAAAAATAGGCTCGTGAGTTTTCATGACTCATCTGACTGCAAACAATACATTAATAAATCATAATTCCTAAGATTTCTTAAGAAAAGTCTGATTTCAGTACTCTTTCCTGAGCCTAGGGAAGGACAAAGGAAGTAAGCAAAAAGCAAGCTTGCTGAAGACAAGCTATCCTGTGAACAAACCAACATTTTGAGAGAGCCATGTAATAAAGACCTAGCTCCAATTGGATGAAAAATCTCAAAATTTGTAACAATCTCCAAGATGATTACTTTGATTTTCCATATAATGCACACTTTCTGCCACTAAAGATTCATCATCTCCATAAGCCTTAGGTTTGTCATAAAAATATACATTTCCCTCCATATTCCTAAAAATGCAGATGTATTTCCCAGTGTAGACAAAGGAAAAGGCAACAGGTCTGAATGCTTTGTCTCTGTTCATTCTGAGTTCTCCACCTACAGGTTGTGAGGCCAAACTATGGACTAGTTCTGCTGCAGGGTAATTTCCTGAGCTGCTATCTAATGGAAACAGCTGTTTCAAGAATTATTTCACAGCAGAAGCTTTACAGGTGGAAGGATTTAATCTAGGGAATGCCATGGATGCATTTTCATTATCGCTTGCATTGGAAACATGATCTGTGTTAGAATCGAATGATACTCTGAATCATTTGGAGCTTGGGCTTTCTGACTGCTTCTCACACATGGCCAAACCACACTTCAGCTGTTTAGATCCCCTTTAGTTACTTACACAGCTCACGGCAACAGTGAACCCAAGGATCCCACAACCTTCATAGGCAGATATTTCCAAAATCCCTTTTCTACTCTTGCAGAGCAGGAAGTACAGGAATCCTCCTGTGTGCTCTGCAGGATAGTTCCACTCTTAAAAGCACTGTCTTTGGGCACTTCAGGCACAGCTTTCTCTTCTCAAATTGGATGATCACCTCACCTTGGCTCTACACTGTAAGTATGAGAGCACGCTAAGAATTGCTTTCCAATAAAGAGGACAAAAAGGGGCACATTTCACTAGTTTTGTGCAGATAAAACAGCTCAACTCCCAAACACTCATCAACTCTGAGTGTAAGACACTCTTGCTGCAACATCCAGCAGGCACGGATAGGGTTGTGACCAAAAATGATTGAAGCTCCAAGGGAGCAGAAATGAAAAACGGTGGATAAAGACTCAGAGGCAGTTGCCAACATCTACATCAACAGAGATATGGCATCGGCTCAGTCCTTGTATTGCTGTCCCTCCTCTCTTCAGATAGTTTTGGATGTTATTATGTGGTAACAGATGGGTTTAGAAGTTGCTCTTGACAGTTATTTATACCTCTAATAATAGTTCTGTCTTTCCTCACCCACCTCTAGCAGTCCCAGTCAGGCATGACTCAGAGCAACAACAATTAACAAAAATACCTCCTTTGCATCAATCATTTCCATTTCATCCCTGGATATGTAAATATGTTTGATGTACAGTAAACAGGCCTACGAAGCAAATGCATGGAAATGAGAACAGGGCATCTTTGTACAACATCCGCAGCTTCCCTTCTGCAGACCCAGACAGAAACTTTTGTCAGTCTGCTGCTGCTCCTCCTTGTGACTACCTGACTTCTGCATCTGTTTTCACTATCCTGATTAATCTGCCTCTGGTTTCTGCAGCTTTCAGAAAGCTGCCTTCTTGTGCTATCCACTGAATGGCTTCTTTACCTGACAGACAATCTTTAACAGCAACTTGACACACATTTAGTTTCTGAGGCACTAATAGCTTATGCCACATTTACAGTTTACAGCCTTCTGATTAACTTTCTGTTTGTGACCCTCAGTCACCCTTTTAACCAACCTGAGGTTGGAAGACCTTAAGATTTCTTCCACCTAATCCTGAGCACTGTCCAGATGGCACTATATCACATGCTACACAGAGGACTGGGGGGATGCTGCACTGCAGTTACGCACAAAGTTTTCTTTCATGTCTCTAGAATAATGATATAAGTAAAAATACATAGGTCGTGCATGTTTGTTTCAGTTGGAAAGTTATAAAAATTATCTTGGGAAATTGCTCTCTAATGTTGACATTTATAGATGAAGTATAAAAGCATTTCAGAGCTTTCATTGCCTCACGCAAATGTTCGATCACACTAGGAATGGTTGAGGAGTCAGCTCGTAATAAAGACAAGAAGCAGTTCATAGAAAGATGAAACTGAGTATGGTCTTCAGTCTGTCCTTTCTTCACTGTTTGGTAACATAGCATTAAGTTAGCTAAACAGTGAATATGCTTCAGCCACTCTGAATACGGATGTGCACTTGTTCTCTTCGGTGTAAATGACATCCTTGCGTCACTCATGCTCATGCTTATGTGGCTATGCTAAACTTCATGGCTACCCATTGTGGGAAATTCTGAGTGAAACATTAAGTAATCACTTCTGTTACCCTGTCTGACAAGGCAAACTCATCACAGACTTATTGGCTTCATTTCAATGGACTCTTATCCTGCGTTACTCAAACTGCTCTCACAGGCAGACTCAGTGCTTGAAGGCTAGACAAGAAGAATACACTGGCATGTCAGTGAGAAGATATTACAAATTATTTAAAACCCATGAAAATTATTTATATATGTACATATCTCTAGATAGATACGTATCAATATATGTATCAGCGTATGCATGTGTACATGTGCGTGTAAAAATTTACATTGAATTCTGGCCATAAGTTACAGCTGTCAATGACAGAAAAAAGATATTAAATGCATATGTGTGTTTGCCAGTGTATCTTGTGACTGTATAAACCCATAGACAAGCACAAACAGTTCAGATTACATTTCAAACACCAGCCCACTAATCACAGTTACCTGAAAGGAAACTTTATATAATTTCCTCAGGTTAAACAATCTCCTTTTGAGCGTGATGTACTGAAAGTAATGAATTACTGAAGCTGTCACTATGGGATAGCTGATGTTTTGTACAGGTGCTAAGCATCAAGATAGTCAGGGCAAGGGCCTGATGATTCATGCAAAGGCCCAAACAAGCATCGGGTGTGAAGCATGGGCTGCATATTACTGTTTACACTAGAATGATAAAGCACTTGCTAATTCCTAAGACTCCAGTCCTACTTGCATGAAATGCAATCTCTTTATTAGCATTAGGCAAAGAAAACCTTTAACAGAACAGATAAAACAAGCTTCTAGTTATAACCTAAGAACATGTATTTCTTCTACATTATAAGGTATTTTAATATAAATACTCTAATCTTACATTAATCCTTCAATAGAACTCTCTGGTTTAGAAATTAATTTCAGAGGAGCAGAGTCTGCTATTTAGCAGAGGTGATCCCAAGCCAGGGCACTTTGCCTCTTCTATCACTATGGAACAGATGTCCCAGCTGAGGGAGATTTGCTAAATATGTGAAGGATCACCGCCCACTGAGAACAAAAACATCCTGTGGGGCCTCCTGGGGAAGAAGGATGAATGGCATCTTCATAAAAGGAGAACAGTATGCTCAGAGCAGCTGATGCAGAGACGGAGGAATATCTGAGGTTAAGAGAAAGAGTCACCAGAGAATATTTTGGAAAACACTGACAGAAGATAGGAAATGACTGAAAAATCCAGGTGCATCATAAAACCACCCACATTCTGGTTCTTCCTGGTAGCAAGTAAAATAAAAGCCCTGGTCAAGTTTATGACTCAAGTGGAGACAAGAAGTTCGCAGCTTTAATTGTGGAAGTCAGTGTGCTCCTGAAATACCCAGCAAAAGCCATCCTGTTAGCAGGCTTCTGCTAAAAACAGAGGTTGTGGCAACATGTAGGGTTAATAAGGATCGGCATTATGTGAACAAAAGCCTTATGCCTCCCATTTTTATTCTGAAGCCCAAATTCTCAGAGGTAGTAAAAGAGTTAACCAGCAATCAGCAACCTCTCTTCATGCAAAGCATCACCAGGATGGGTAATGGTAAAATGAAGAGGGTAAACGAATGAAACAAAAATAAAGATAACACAACAGTGAACAATTAGGGAAC